TCGCATATGGCAGCTCTGCGTTGAGTGGCACTGCCGCAAGCGTGGCTTAGTTTATGCTGGGGGTGGCTGACTGAGCTGAGTTTTGCGCATCTTCTCGAATCTGTTGTTGGCTGTTTTATTGCTGTTAACTTCCTGTAATGGGTTGGTTACATTTCCAGTAATTTCAACTGTTGACTCTGTTTGCAGTACGATCCGAATCCACAGACACCAGGCCCATGGATAGCGCCGCAGCCGCAAGAAATGAATAACGACATGATGTGGCACGATCCAAATCCGAAGCAGAAGAAGGTGCAGCGTGATACGGGCACGGCGATCTGGGGCGACCCACAGCAGCAGCCAGTGGTTGGTTGTGCATAGGCAGTTTCTTTTTTGATATTGGCAGTTTAAAACTTGGTTTTTAGGGAGTGCTGGGAAGGGAACGTGCGAAGTTGGTTGTTTAACTGATTGATTGTTTAACGGTTTTGAAATGTTTGGCCTACCAGTGCTTTACGGGTATTGTGTTTGAGGAGATTAAGCGGTGGAAGGACGCGGAAGTGGTTGATTATTCACATGTACAAAGCGCGATACCCTGTGGTGGCGACTGGAGCAGTATCCCAGTTTCAGTCAATGGTACCATCGCCACAGGCACCGCCTCGAACAGTAGTACTGGAACTTTAACCAATTCATGTTGCCCAAACACTGGAGCCAATGTTTCCACACCAACAACAGCTGGCGGATGTGCAGGTAGCAATGGACCTTGGCCAGAAGGTGCGCTTTTGCTTCAGTCTTTACTCTCTCTAAAATGCTAACAAGCCATCAGTTGTGATAATATGTCGCTTTCGCGGTTGTTGCTGCTGCACATATTTGTTCTAAGATATGGAAATGAGAAATCGTGAGTTGACTGTTTGGTGATGTGTGTCCTTACTTTGCTGCACCATTAATTTATTTTTTAACTGCGTTGCCTGACTGTTTCCACACTGTTGTGAGACTTTTTCCTTTTCTCGTTTTTTTCAGTGCTGGAACACATACGTGCATCCGCAAATTTCCCTTTTTTTATACGTTTTGTGCTGTGCAACAGCTACACAAAACGTATATTGTCATGGGTTTGTCTGTGTGTGTGTGTCTGTGTGTGTCCGCAGCAGCTTGTCTGCAACTTTGAACTCGTCGACCACAAAAGCTAGGAGGCTGGAAATTTTGGGGAATGTTCCCCATCCACATATGACCCCGCAAATTTAAATTCAGCCTCCCCGTATCCGCGGATAACAGGTACGGCCCCGCAAAGTTTTGACGGGGGGAGTTATTGTCTCGGGAACCACGGTAGTTAGGGAGCTGGAACTTTGTGGGTATGTCCGCTGCCTACGTGGAGAATTTAAATCCAGCCTTCCCGCGCTCGAAGATAGCATACACGGTTCTGTAAAACTTTCTAGCAATTAAATCGTTATCTCGAGAACCATGGAATTTAGGAAGCTGAAAATTTATGGATATGTCCCCTGCCCACGTACGACCTCTCGGATTTAAATTCAGCCTTCCCGTCCCTGCAGATATTACATACGGCCCCGTGAAACTTTTGACGGATAAATTATATCTCGGGAACCACGGAATCTAGGAAGCTGAAATTTCAGGGGACTATTCCCCTGTCCACGTGCGGTCCAACGGATTTGAATTCAGCCTTCACGCTCCCCTGGATACCACATACGGCCTCGTGAAAGTTTTGGCAGGAGTATTATTCGTAAACTGTAAAAGCTAGAAAGCTGAAATTTTAGCGTGTCATCACCTACCCACATGCAACTCCGTAAATTTTCAACCTTGCTGCGGAGATTTTGGAAAAATCATTACCGCGGGAGCCAAAAGAGCTGGGAGGCTGGAAATGCCAGGAAGATGTTTTCTGCTTAAGCATAAACTTCACAAACTCGAATTCAGTTCCTAAGTATGCTGAGTTCTCACATACTACCGCGTGAAAGTTTTTTTGCAAAAATCTGAGACCCGGAAAATGAAGAGACTGAAGTCGTGAAAGAATATTCACTCTTCGGGGTTTCAAATTCAGCTTTCACCTACCGGTGCGTGAAATTTTTAATGGGAGATTCCGCAACTTAGGCACCAGTCAACATTTCAACTATTTTTACACAGAACAAAGTACAA